AAATGAGAAATCAGTAAAAAAAATCTCTTTAATAAAAAAAAATAAAAATATTTTTTTAATAAAAAATCTTTTAGTGTGTTTTGTGAAAAATCCTCTTAAGTAATTGATAGTAACTTGAAAGTCAACTTGACGAAAATTAGCCTGAAAGTAGACAAATGCTGGAAAAAGTTGAGTCAAAATTTGGGCTAAAAAAACTTAAGGTTAACGAGAACATTTGAGGCTAGAACCCGACCACTGACTAAAACTAGAGCCAGATACAGGTGGTCCTCGGGTTATGACGTCCTCGACCCACAGTGTATCGTGGTTATCATCTCGTCTCCCACGCATTTATTAAGAAAGTCTTGTTCTACGATTCCGATGTAGGGTAATAAAACATCACGGACAAATGGCACTATACGCAGATGACAACCTTGTTTACATTCGCCAGTTTTACGCCATACATTGGATCGTGCTGCATTCGCTTTCTTTAAAATATTTAAAAAATCAAATAATCAATACAATATGGTCAAATTGATAAATTGTTATTTGTAGGTGAAAATACCTATCATTAGAGGTAAAAAATAAATATATATATATATTAGCTAAATATTACAAAAGACACATCAAAATGATTGCCCTGAATTTATGCTAAGTGTTAGCCTAAAATGAAGGAAATACAAATATATAAACAATTCAAATGAGAACTTAAAGTCAGGACAGCGATCTCTAGCTCTCGGCCTGTTAACAAAAAAACGCCAAAAGTTAGCGCACGACAAAACAAGAAATTTGTTTTAAATTTGATGAAACATCGTCATCATTAAAGCCATCATTTAAGATCCATTGTCCACCAAAGATGACTTTGTCCTCTGTTAAAAACAGAGGGACGACATTCGACCAGAGGGTGGAGCTGTAGATAATAGATATATCATGGCTAATGCTAATGTGATGAAGAGCAGGAGCCTGGTGTCATTGTCTCAACACAGAAACACAGAAAAGTTGAAAGTTTCTGTTCAGGCTGAGCTCCATCTGAGCCTGGCTGCTGACACGAGCTGATAATCAGATTTACTCCCACCCACCTCCCTGAATCTGCTGGACTCCACAATGTGTCCCACTGTCATCCTGGTCCTCATCGGCCCATCGCCAGCGTCCAGACCCTCCGTCCTCCCCCACAGTAAAGCTAATTACACCCTGCAGAAACACAAATCTCTGTGATTGGAAAAAAAAAGTCTCTTCTTCTTCTTTACTTTTTTTTCGGTCGGGGAGGTTTAACCTTGTTAGAGTCTACGCCTGGTTTCTCGCGTCTCAGTTCTGAGAGGACGGCTCTGTCCCGGCAGACGCTGTGACATAGACACACTTCTGTCTGTCTTTCAATCGCAGAGTTCACTGTCTAATTAACCATACGTGTGTGTGTGTGTGTGTGTGTGTGTTTGGAGAGGGGAGGCAGCGTCTCTGTCCTCACTGCTCACCATCTGGGACTTTGGACCAACTAATAGACTTCCTACAGTCGTTGACTTGTGCACGTCCTGACCGCAAACAGGCTGCGTAATCACATTACCGCGTTTGTGTCTGCGTGCGAGGAACAGTGTGTGGGCCGCCTGACGCCAGCAGCTCGGCCGGCGCTGTTTCCTGGGGGCCTGTAGGGGCCCCCCTGGAGGAGCCCCCTCAGAGACAGCACCGTCATGGGTGGCTAAAGAAACTCGGAAGCTGCGGATCTAACGTGCAGCTGAAGTTGGATAGAGGCCGGGATAGGGTCCAGATCTGCGTCCACATCTGGACCGTGTCCTTCCTGTTAGTGACCCCCGATCTACAGAACACGACACTCTTGACAAATGGAACTGAACTAAGGACATTCACGCTGCTCTTGATGGAACACCGTACTGATATCGTGTGCGATCACTGTTGAGGTGTAATGTGTCCTGGACAGGTACCAGGCTTGACGATTCATTCAAATACTCTGATCCACCGACCTGAAGGTCCTCTAACGTAGTTTCATAGTTTTGCGGTTAGCTTGCCTGCTTCACGAGCAGAGAGTCATGCGTTCGATTCCCAGAGGAATCACGTATTTGGTGCCTCCAGGGAAGCTGCCTCTCACAGCAGATATGCTGTTAGCACCATTTCCCAAGTCTGGGATAAATGAAGTTCTAATTGTTATCATGATTATTATAAGGACAACTCGCTGCTCATTGGTCAGCCACTGTTGTATGTTGGTCAAGCTGTGGTTTTTATTGAGAGTTATTTGACTGACACGGTGTGTTCATTTGTTTTTTGAGAATTGGGAATAGTTTAAACGACAGACTGTGTTAACTGGGAAGCAGGAAACAGTATCAGTGATCATCAACCGGCGGCCCGTGGGGCCAATTTGGCACGTCGAACATCCCATCCGGGCCACGACTGGTTTTAACGCCGTTCGTCAGAATGATGGAACTTTCCAAATAAATTCATGGGAGATGGTGATGTAACCATGAACCATCGTAGTTCAGGGACAACGTAGTCGTATCTGTTGATTTGTGATAAAAAAAATATCGGACAACATTAACCAAATTTTTACAAGAATCTTTAGCATCAACACATGAACTCCTGCTCTACCCCCGCCTCCTTTGGTGTCACTGAGGTACTTTACTTCCAAACAGTTGTCAAAATTACACAAATGTACTAAAGTGTACTGCAGTTTCCCTGCTGTATTGTACAGTTTTTTGTTTTTTTTAATGGTCCTTGGTCTGAGAGGGAGTTTTTATAAATGTGTCATCAAACCTCAGTGATTCGTCAAAAGGAAACTTACTTGGGCATCACACACACATCACTGACTTCAACGTGTGTGTTGAAGGACACACTCCTCCGTCCCCTGTTGTGGCCTTGATTGTGTTTGCGTTCGTGGTCGCATTCAGAGCTTTCGCCTGTTTTTTCCGTCCAACGTTCGTGCTCGGACCTGCTCGACAGCAGGCTGTCGGTTCGATGACAGCGACTTTAAGTCCGGCCTCACAACGCCCTCCTTGGCTTTTTGAATGTTCTGACTGACAGGTAATTGGTGGAGGCCTTAGGGGAGAACGCAGAGGAGTGTGGAGGAGACGGAGGCCTCCCATGGCTCCTCCACCTCACTTCTGCCTCTTTACATCACAGGAATGCAAATCTTTCAAAGCCTGCAGATCTGAGAGCAGGGATTTGAACGCTGATCCTCCTCTCTGTGAGGAGACACACAGACACCCCACCTTCTCCGACGGGAGGTCTCCTGGTTCATCAGTGTAACTCAGACACTTTCTGTGTGTCTGTGTCTGTGTCTGTTTTTTTTTCATGTTTGTTTACTGATTGTGTGTAAAAGGGGTGAGGAGCTCAACTACAGAGTCCAACTCAAATAAAAACCCTGCGTCTGCGTGACATTTGTCCTCAGTGTTTGCTCTGTAAAAGGCCACAGAGACAGAGAGGAGGACTAAATGAGTCACAGACTGCAGTCTTCAGCTCGTCCGTCCGTCTGTTGTCTCAGTGTTGACAGACGCTTTCATCTGAATGTCATGGATGTGTTTGATCAGACCAGAGATCAGTTAACATCTAATGTCTGTAAAACATGAAGCCGGACTCCACTTTGAATGGGACATCCAGAGGTGTCATTTATTTTGTGGCCGCTAGAGGGTAGTGTGGGCATCGTGCATTATTCGAAATTCCTCCTCAACGGCCACTGAGACGGTGGACAGCCGTCTCTGCTGTGGTGTTGTTGGAAACGCCACCTGAGGGACTTTTATTTATTTTTACTTTTTAAAAAAAAAAAAAGTTTATATGATTCATTTTGAATTTAAAATATATTAAAATAAAGGTAATACTGATGATGACGTTAAAAAAAACTAACAAGTACAGTAAAGACACAGGCAGTGTGAGATACTGTTGACTGATTAATATTGTTGAACACAAGGGCGTGTAGATCAAACTACGGCCCGTGGCCCAGATACAGCCCGCTTGGTTTCCTAATCTGGTCCACCTAACACTACTACTAGGTCAATCCTTCTGTTTTATACATTCCCACAAATCGACTGTAATTTCTGTTTATGCCACTAAATGGCAGCAGACATCAAATGTGCCAAATTATGACTGGAAGTTTATTTTTATTCTTGTAGATTTTATTTAAATTATTCCGCCCAGCATTCTACATCCAACCAAAACTGAAATCAAATGTTGAACCTCATTTTGGTCCGTGAGTCAAAGCGTCTGTTGTAGATGGCAGTAATGACTCTGTAAAGAACACGTTTCAGTGATAGTTAAAGTTAATACATATTATTGCTATGCTTTGAGTTCTGTTTTAGAGAGATTTGGTCATATTTATATTTCAATCATTTAGATGAAAAGTTTGGGTTTTTTGGTCATATTTTGGAATGTAGATTAATCCTGATTAATCATCATCGTAATTGACAATAATGTTTGAAATCAATGAACTTTCATGATTAAACATGATTAATCCACAGTTACCCTGTGATTAATCCAATTAAAATTAAATCAACTGACAGCCCTAATACAGTAAATATATATAATATATATTTAATATATTAAATAAATATTTTACATATATTTAATATATATTTTATTTTAAACCCATCATAAATATTGTTAATTAATGTCTCTGTTATACTTATTTTAATTTTTTCTTTTTAAACCAGGCTCATCACACTCATCCGGCACGTGGTCCGTCTCCTTGTTTCAACTGTCCTTCACTGTGTCCACGCTTCCTGTCTCACATGAAGATTCCTGTTGACCACCTCAGACCTCTGCGTCTCCACAGCTCCACCTACAGACCACATCCTCCACCCAACAACCCCGTTCCCCCTGCTCTACAGGGCCAGGAGCTCGAGGGTGAGTGGAGTTTATCGTGGACAGCCGTCTCTGCTGTGGTGTTGTTGGAAACGCCACCTGAGGGACTTTTATTTATTTTTACTTTTTAAAAAAAAAAAAAGTTTATATGATTCATTTTGAATTTAAAATATATTAAAATAAAGGTAATACTGATGATGACGTTAAAAAAAACTAACAAGTGCAGTAAAGACACAGGCAGTGTGAGATACAGTTGACTGATTAATATTGTTGAACACAAGGGCGTGTAGATCAAACTACGGCCCGTGGCCCAGATACAGCCCGCTTGGTTTCCTAATCTGGTCCACCTAACACTACTACTAGGTCAATCCTTCTGTTTTATACATTCCCACAAATCGACTGTAATTTCTGTTTATGCCACTAAATGGCAGCAGACATCAAATGTGCCAAATTATGACTGGAAGTTTATTTTTATTCTTGTAGATTTTATTTAAATTATTCCGCCCAGCATTCTACATCCAACCAAAACTGAAATCAAATGTTGAACCTCATTTTGGTCCGTGAGTCAAAGCGTCTGTTGTAGATGGCAGTAATGACTCTGTAAAGAACACGTTTCAGTGATAGTTAAAGTTAATACATATTATTGCTATGCTTTGAGTTCTGTTTTAGAGAGATTTGGTCATATTTATATTTCAATCATTTAGATGAAAAATTTGGGTTTTTTGCTCATATTTTGGAATGTAGATTAATCCTGATTAATCATCATCGTAATTGACAATAATGTTGATTAATCATGAACTTTCATGATTAAACATGATTAATCCACAGTTACCCTGTGATTAATCCAATTAAAATTAAATCAACTGACAGCCCTAATACAGTAAATATATATTATATATATTTAATATATTAAATAAATATTTTACATATATTTAATATATATTTTATTTTAAACCCATCATAAATATTGTTAATTAATGTCTCTGTTATACTTATTTTAATTTTTTCTTTTTAAACCAGGCTCATCACACTCATCCGGCACGTGGTCCGTCTCCTTGTTTCAACTGTCCTTCACTGTGTCCACGCTTCCTGTCTCACATGAAGATTCCTGTTGACCACCTCAGACCTCTGCGTCTCCACAGCTCCACCTACAGACCACATCCTCCACCCAACAACCCCGTTCCCCCTGCTCTACAGGGCCAGGAGCTCGAGGGTGAGTGGAGTTTATCGACCCAACACCTGGTGGCGTTTTTTTTTATTTTTGTTTAACACCAGCAGGAGGAGGTTTAAGTCCACACCTCTGTTCATTAACACCTTTTCCTCCTCTTTTCTTTTGCTCCTCGCGGCGGCGGCGGGGGGGTGGAGGCTGAGGCCACCGGCCGTGTTGTTAGCTCTTAATCTCTCTTTGTGAGTGTGAGTCAGGTTAAGTGGAAATCTTGGGTATCCTGCCTCTTTTTCTCGCTCTGTCTGTTGAGTAAGTACCCACAGCGCCGCCCTCCTGGTGGTCCTGTGGTGGGAGTGAAAGACCTTAAGGTTGGGAGACCTGCCGCTCCTTTCAGAGCCGGGGCTCTGATGTGAAGGCATTTCCCCCCAGTGCAAACCTCAGCTCCACAGCAGGCAGTTGCTTTGTGAAAGTGTGTGTGTGTGTGTGTTTGCGTGTGTGTGTGTGTGTGTTATTTCTCAGCACCGGGGGTCTAATACTAATTATTCTACCATATGGTGTTGGACTGGCTCACAATTGGCTCTGAACTGTGCTCCCTGAACGGGCTGTGGCCAAGTCAGACACATGCCATTCATGTGCACATTCTCTCTCTCTCTCTCACACACACACACACACACACACTCACTCATGCACGTGAGTGTGTGTAACAGATGGGAATGGCAGGACATGATTGTACAAAGAGGCAGAGCAGAAATATTCGCTTTCTCCATTTCATCCTCTTTATCCTATCAGTGCTGACTCCTGTTGGCGGCCGACGCCTCCCTGGGAACAGAAGGAGATTGTCTCACACCCTCCTCCTCCTCCTCCTCCTCCTCCTCCTCACCCCTCCGTCTTCATGCCCACAAAACTAAAAGGAAAAAAAAAGAAAGGGTTTCCAGAGAAAGTGGAGATAATAACAGGAAGTGATGAAAATAGAGCTGGTCCATCAGCAACAGGAAGGAAACATTTACTTACAACTTTCACATTTACTAGAAAAATCTTTATATGTATATGATGTACATAGTTTAAGCAGTCATGTAGGAAAATACATACTGTTAAAAAGATCTGATGTGCTTCAGGCTGCAGTACCTTTGCTGGCCTAAAGGGCTTGCTTTTTACGTTAATAATAATAATAATAATAATAATAATAATTAAGTATACGAGAGTATCATTTGTAGTTTGTCACCCACACGTGACAATCTTCTTCAAGGCTCGTCTAGGGTAATCTAAGCTAGCTGAGCTTAGCTACTTATGCTATCTTGCTAGCTGTTTACAAATCATGAAATAGTAAATACACAATAAAACTGGAATTACAATATGTTTGTAAATTAAAATGTTACAAAATGTGAACTTAACCATTTAAAAAAAGTCTCTCTAAAAACATAGGAAAAGATTTATTTATATAAAATGCATTTTTGATTCAAACATATTTGTGCCTAAACTAGCATGTTAGCCTGCAAAGTTTTTTAATACTGCCGTAAAAATGAGCATTGGCAATTGTTTAAAGTGGGGTAAAAACACCTCTAATGAAATGTTTCAACGTCTCCATCCCATAATAAACCTGTTGTGTGTCTGTATAAATACAGGCACTCTCCCCTGCCCACGGCTCCGATCACTGCTGTGAACTGAGACTTTGGGAAACTGCCAGCTGCTGCAGCAGGACCATTTCTCCCTGCCTTTGTTAGCACAACGACCCACCCAGCAGGGAGACAAGTGTTTGCCCCGAGACACAGGAGCAAAGTGGGAAAAAAAATGTCATGAGCAGCTTTGGAGGTGACCTGTACTGTGGTCACTGTGCTCCGCATTCAGAGACAGAAACAAGAGGCTTTTATGGGGGTCAGAGTCCAGGGCTATTAGAAGGTTTGGATCCAGTTTGAGAAAAGTGCTGGATCCCCTGAACAATGTTCAAATTTAATAAAGAATTCCAGTGAAGCCTTCAAACCCAGAAACGTGCTGGAACTTTAGCTAAAAGTGCTGTTGAATCAGTGATTTCAGGGGAAAAAAACTTCAGTAAAGTTAGTTAGTCGAAGTATTAACTTAAAAATGTCAAAATTAGAACTTTTGTCATGTTTGATGTCATGTTAACATAGAGCTTTTGTTCTTTTTTTATCAGGGTATTTTCACTTAGATCCACAAAGAAGAGGAAATAATAATGTGGAAACAAAGAATCTGATCGCAGGAAACAGTTCTGCTGCTGCTGCTGCTGCTGCTGCTGCTGCTGAAGTTGCTGCCTCTGCTGTGGATGATGTTGTGCCCTGCCCTTCACCTGCCGACAGCCCAGCACCACCGATCATTATTCCATCAGCTCTGCAGTCTGACAACCCACACTCTGAAAAAGAAAAACCCAAACCAGAAGAGGATACTCAATCTCCTTCCTCTTCTCCCTTTCACCTTTTCTCACCTGAGAGACATGAACCTCAAGAGGATGGAAAAGTACCACAGGAAGTTCCTGCAATGTCCGTCCCTGGACTGGAGGGGGCGCCTTTCCGAGGGCCTGCTGGATGGGAGCTCCTGTCAACAACAACCCCTCTCTCCCAGGAGTCTTTGTCTGATTTTAGTCGTCCTCCCTCCAGTTTATTCAGCCGCAGCACTGACCTGAGCGGCAGGAGCAGCAACTTTTCAGGTGAATCTTTTCTCATTGTCACCGATTGTCACTGTGGACAAATAGAGAACAAAAACAAATACCACAGTTTAGTCATGGTCAGAGGGTCTTATTGGGGTCTAGAAAACCACATCAGAGGGTCCAACCAGGGGTCAGTATTAAAAAGTGAGGAGTGGCAGAGAAGTACATGTAGCCGGTGCAGGACATGGTGAGGTGCAGTCAGATTGGCGGTTGGGTTGAGCATCAAGATAGGGTTAAATAGAATGCTTACAGAACATGTCTGGAAAAGTCCAGTTGTTTGAGGTTCTCGAGGTGACATGGACAATTTCTTGAGAACGTCTCGCTTCTTTTTCAAAAGGCTCTGGTAGATCAGGAAACGTCATAGGATCAGATCATTTAAACCAGCGGTTTCAACCTTTTTTGTACCAAGGACTGGTCAGATGGTATCAACCAATACTGCGGACCGGTAATGCCACAACATCGTTGAAGGATCAATAAAAATTAAAACATCTTTCAGACTTTATTCTGTTAGTATCAGAGTTTGAATGACCTTTTTTAGTTAGTATCAGAGTCTGAATGACCTTTTTTATAAACAATGACATTATTTTTGAATGACAAAAGTAAAGGTATATGACTGGATTCTTTTTGAATGAAGTGAATTAGTAAAACTACAGTACTTCTTTTTGAATGAAGTGAATTAGTAAATCTACAGTACATTCTTTTCACTGTGGCCCAGTACCAGATGACCTACGGACTCTTACTGATCCCCGGACCAGAGATTGGAGACCCCTGATTTAAACCACATTTTGATTTTCTTGTCTTTTTTGCAGGACTGTGCAGCGACTCAGACCCAGAGCTCAGTGACCAGTCACACCAACATCAGCCTTCCTCGGGGCTACAGTTACCCCAGACCTCTGCATCTACTCTGAGGACCATCCCTCAACAATCCTTTACCAACAATTTCACCTCTAAATCTCCCCTCTGTGAACCGGTTTTTGACCAAATCCAACATCCGTCCTCTCGACCATCTTCACACCTTCAACCTGTTTTGGACAAGCCTCCGAGTCGTCACCACGGCATCATAAAAGAAGACAACTACAACCAGGATGTTTTCACGGAGCCTGTGCCTGATTCATCTTTGGTTTCTGACCAAGGCCATCTCCCACTGGCTTTAACCTCCGCCACTTGGTCTTCCTGTCCAAGTCCACAAAGGTCCACGCCGAGATCGAGAGAAAAGCTCAACCCCTCTCCTCCACCCGGTGTCCTGCAGTCTCAATGCTGGTCCGTCTTACCACCCATCACCCCATTCAAAGGTAAGAAATGTTCCCCGTGGTCCATTCTCAGCCAACGTCTCCTCCCCCTCTCCCTCCCCCTCTCCCTCCCCCTTTTCCTCCCCCTCCTCCCTGTCCTGACAACACTCTTAGCTCTGGATTGTTGTGAACATTGTAGGACTTCCTCACAAAGACATTGGTCCAGACACACACACAGCTCTAAAGCGTGGTGTTGTGGCTGCCTCTGTCGATGCTGCAGACGCTGCTGTCACTCTGTTTTTATTACCTCCCTCCGCTACGTCGTAAATAACCCCGAAAAGCTTTTCTTTTTCCTCTAAATCATCAATGGAGATGAGCGCTTTTTGATGAAAGCTGGTACCATTTGATTCCTCGTTCAAAGACATGAGGCCCTGACAATAAAAGTTCAGGGTCCCTACCTCGTGTGCCGTGCCTCTCAGACTCCACTCCCCTCGTTTGGTCATAAATCCACGCTGACCAACGCTCGCTGACGGCGCAGCGCCTCCAACAAAAGCCTCACTCCATAATACCTCGTCGGCTTTCCTGCGGCCAATAATTTACCGTTCCCAATGGTGACAAAGACCAGGGGCCACTGACATCTGACTCCTCTAGGAACTTTATGAAAGAAGGCAAACAATGTGGAAATTGTGCAGGGATTTTCTCCTTTCTGTCTCAGACATCTACTGTTCTCTGTGAGGTGCTAGATGGTGGGGGGGCTCAGTGCTGTATCACAGCATGCTGTTCTCTTCAGGGCTTGACACAGGGCCGGGGTCACAGCTTCAGTCTTTACTGCAGATGAAGGCGATTTAATCATAAACGTTTTGGGGAGTATGGCTCAGAGGATAAAGTCTGGTTCGTTATAGCTCTAAGTCTGGCTTTTGATTTTGGTGTAAGTTTTAGGAAAGGAAATAACAGTTAATATTCACATAGATAATATATTATTTTGACAAAACGTCATGTTGAGATGACATTTGTTAAGAACTAACCACATCCAGGATTAATGTCAAAGTGTTCTGGACAAACTAACCAGAACTGTTAATACCTAACTTCTAGCTTATTATATATATATATATATACATACATAGCAAAATATATATATTTATAAAAAAAATAGGCTGTTTTGCTGTATTTTTGTCCCATTTGTTTCAGTTGACAATCAACAAGTGTTTTGATATTTTTGCTATAAAGATTTTTGGCTAAACATTTACAGTATATTTGCTATCATTAAATACATTTTAGTGGATGTTATGTCGATGTTGCTACACTTTATAGATATTCAAACATCATGTAGTGAGTTTCTGGCTAATTTTTTATTTCTTTGATATTTAAGTAATACCCAGCAAACATTTCAATTATTTTGTGTAATTTAAGGTTATTTGTGGCCAAACATTTTTGATATATATTTTGGCTTTAATTTTTTTCCCTATATTGTCCTATAAAATATAAAACATTTATCAACCATGGAAACCGGAATAAAAAGTCAATAGTTCGAAGAGTTAGTAGCCCTCATTAGCTGTAAGGCTTTTCCATTCAGCCTTTTGTGGAGCCGTATATCTTTTTCCCCAGATCATGACCCTGATCTGACCGGTTGTTGAGCAACAGCTCTACACTGTAACTGTCCTGGACGGTACAGCAGGGCGGCGCTGCTGTGGCCTGGACCGGCCTTTCCACTGACCGGGATAAAGGACAGGATCACAGTGACACAGAGACGGCCTTGTCTGTCTCTTACTGTGCTCTGTCACACATATGCCCCCCCACCCCACCATCATCAACACCATACTACAAACAGCGCCCCCATGACCTTCCTGAAGAACCATGAAGTCCATTTTGACAGAAGCAACATGCTGTCAAAGTGTCCAGTCATGTCCTTCCACTCTCTCTATGACACATATGTCAAGTACTCAGTGATGTGTGTGTGTGTGTAAGTGTGAGTGTGTGTTTGTGTGAGTGTGTGTGTGCATGTTCAAAAAGATTGCCTTGTTGCTCTTCAGAATTCTGTAGGGATGTTGTTGACCAATGTTAGCTTTTAGCGCTAACTTTGAATTATGTCTTCATGCTGGCAGTCAAAGATTATTTCAGGTGAGATGAGTCAACATTTTACTTCATGAAATATATGAAATATATTTCTAGACTAATGTTTGACTTTGGACAAATGTACTATTTCGGCCTGGAACTCAGCCTTTTATGAATATGGATGTTGATCTGTTTTAGCTCTGTGGGCTAATGTGGGCTAACATCAGTTTTTCAATCATTTTCAGATATTTTTTTTAACTGACCAACTTTGTTGGGCTTTTTTCTAGTTTTTGGGCAACTTAACTCTTTTAAATTATGTTTGAATAAACTTAATTTATCTTTTACAGTCTTGCTTTCAGACATTTTAGCCATATGTTGGCTAACTTTTTTTGTCCTTTTGAATAAACCTAATCTGTCTTTTTTAATTTTGTGCTTATTCTCTTTTTGTTTTGCCCACATTAGGGTATTTTTATATATATTTTTATAACATATTTGACTTTTATTTCTTGTTTTTTTTTTCATTTCTGATGCGAGAGATGCTGCTTTTTGTTCAGAGAGACTTGAGGGCAGAGCGTTTTTCTGTTTGCGTCTACACCAGGTGAGACGAAGCAACTTTTACCCCTGAGGTCCCACAGACCTTCTCCCTCCTGGAGGTCCAGAGAGTGGATGAAGCTGTTTGGGGAAGTGTCCACTTGTCAGAGTGTTAAACCAAGAAGAGACGGGATTAAAGTAAACCCTAAACAACAACCAGCTCAGATCTCTGGTCAGATAATACCAGCCAACACTTCTTTTCTTGTAGCTGTTTGCCTTAGTGCTATTTATTTTTTGTTTATTTCTTTGTTTCTGCATATTTGAGGTTATTTTGTTTTTAATGGATTTGTGTTGGACATAATGAGAACCAGGGAAAGAAGAACCTTGTCTCCTCTGTGCTGTTTCTTTTGTAGTGAGTTTAAACTTTTAAATTCATGCACATGAAACATAATATCTGATAGTAGCGCAAATTGCTTGTAAAACTCTTAAATTCCCCTCTAAAGCCAACTAAACTGTTAGGGCAAAATGTAATTATTATTTACATCTTGTCTCGGGCCGGATATGGAGGGTTCAGGAGCCTGAGTTTGAGACCCCAGGGCTAAGGCCTGATATGAAACCCAGTTTGATGACTTGACTTGTGACTGCAGGTCTGAGGTAACATTTCCAGGAGTCACATTGAAAAGAAAAGCCAGGATATTTATTATTGTTTAATCCATTCTTGTTCCGACAGTAATCCAAACACCGACTCTGTGATGTTACAGGGCGCAGTGGCTCGGCAGCGTCACGGTTCTCCGAGGTCAGCTGCAGTCAGTCTTACGTCTTTGATGAATTAGAGGCCATCGCTCCCACGTCTACGTGCTGTCCATCATTGGACGAGGCCTCCGACTCCTCGGTTTGCTCTTCGCCGGAAACAGGTACAGACACACAAACACAGAGTGGACACAGTCCGTCCCAAATAAATGCGTCCCTACTCGTCCCTACACACCCTTATGTCTGTTAACAGTTGACATGCTATAATGTTGTACCGACATTTTAGCCTCCGAACTTCTTAATTCAGGGCTGTCAAAATAATTTTCATTCTGCAGTGAAGACCGTTTAAAACAATGTGAGAAAAGCCCGGTTCGCGGACCGGTACCAGTCCAAAGTTCATTTGCTGCTGGGCCACAGTGAAAAAATTTACTTAATTTTTACTAATTTACTTCATTCAAAGAAATTCCAGTCATATCCATTTACTTTCTTTATTTAAAGATATTTTGGCAACATTTTAAAATAATAGGACATTCAGACTCTGACACAGAATAAAGTCTGAAAGACGTTTTATTTTGAAAATGTAATGATCCTTCAACACTCAGCTCCGTAATAACAGGTGGTACTGGGGGACCAGTCCTTTGGGGACCACTGGTACAGATCTAACTACTCCATAACAGACTAATACATGTTCCTGCAAAAATATAATTACTCAGGTTGAGAACCTCTGCTGCATGGACTTTACTAAATGCTTTTTAAGCTCCCGCGGGCCACACTGAACAACTTGGCTGGCCGCATTTGGCCCCCGGGCCTTGAGTTTGACACGTAATTTAATTCATCAAACCTCGTTCCAGGTCAGGTTGTTTATTCCCAGGCATCAAATCAGGATTGAAATCTACAGCTGTCTTATTATGGACCGTAACAGTCTCATTTCTTTGTTGGCCAACAAAAACAGACTAAATGCGTGTCTGCCCAGTGTATTGTAAATAAGTGTGGGTGTGAATGTGCGTGTGTGTGTCCGTGTCCTCAGGGTGTTGAATTGATCTACTTAGGGCGGACATTAGGGGGAAGACTTCCTCCTCGCTGCTGCAGCAGCTCCCTAATCCCTGACAAGGTGTTTAACCTGTTCGCTCGGCCTGAACCTTCGTCTGAACCTGGCGACCTTTGCCCTCAGGAAAATGGAGGGGTTGTGTCCTGATAACATCAGCTAATGTGAACTAATGCTTCAGACTGAGTTTTATCAAGAATGTACATTTGTGTCGAGTGAAGCCAATGAGAACGATGTTTTCTGATGAGATGAGAGAATAAAAATAAATCTTAAATCTGTATCGGTCTGATATTGGATCAAAAATTTCAGGATCGGATATTGGAAAAATAATAAAACAGCCCTTCCGATCTGATACCTGAGCCCAAATGCTTAACGTAACTCTACGCGACATGCCATGAACAGGGATACTATCGCTTCAGCAACGACGGGTATCAAATTGATATCGTGAGACTTAAGGTTGAGAGCCCTAGTTTCTAAGACCAGTGCTCTAACCTTTGACCTCTGAAGCCAGGTACAAATAGAAATCACTTTCTATTCAACATCAGGAGGATTATTTTTTTCTTGCACCATCATCTGAAGAGCACCTTAAATAATGATTTCAACCAATAGTGCTTTTAATCAACTTCAAAGTGTGGGACACAGATATGTATTCTCTAAATGTTCTTTCATCTCCGTCCAATCAACACCTTCAGCGTTTGAATTCACAGTCAGGTCCATTTCCTCCCTGTCCCTCTGACACTCTGAGTGGGTGGTAAGTGCGTGGCCAACACCATAATCACCAGATTGGGTCGTTTGTTATCTGCTCACTCTGTTTGCTAAGTGTTTCTCAATCCTACACGTCCTCCAGTCTAATGAGCGGCTCACGCCGCCGTGGTCCGGACTAACGATGGTGTGTGTTCCTCCACGCTGTCTTACAGCTGCTGTTATCCCAGGGATTTCCTCCCAACGACTCCCTCTCATTTTATCAACTGTTCCTTTTTCCAACCTGAGGGATTGGTTTACCAAACATCCTAGCACCAGCACACACACACACACACACACTCACACACTCACAGGTTATGACTGGCCAACGGAAACATTCACCTGTGTGCACATGAGGAGGAGACGGAAGAACTGAGACTGACAAAAAGAACGTTTTTTGATACCACAAATGACCTGTGTGTGTCTGTGATTGTTGTAGAAATATTTTTAAAAAAATCCCCTTCACGTGGGAACACTTTGCATGTCTAGACTGAGTGAGTTTGAAATTGCAAAAGTGTGAAGGTGTCGGTTATTAGTAAAAAAAAAAAAAAAGGAAAAGCAGCCAAAAATAGAGAAAAAAATAAATTTACTCTGATAATGAAATAAAAAAATAGAAAAATAATTAAAAAAAATAGGTCAAAACACAAAAATCTAGAAAATTAAAAAATTAAAGCAAAAAAAAAATAAAATTAAGAACTGGCATAAAAGGCCAAAAACAAAATAATGATTGTCATAAAAAAAATTAAGAACTGGCATAAAAAGCCAAAAACAAAATAACGGTAAAATAAAAATACTAATAAAAAATACAAAAAGTAAAAAATGTATTTTTCATTTTTTTCCACACAGAAGAAAGGAATGTTTTTGTTTGAGTGTGCATGACAGTGAGAGAGTGTGTGTGTTTGTGTAATACCTCCAGTGGGGCATGTTTTGTAAAAATCCCCCCCTCAGCTTCAGCCAGCATGGGCTGAGGATTTGCATGGGCACCGGGCCACTCTGCCACTGATCTGCTTTTAATTGGGTGTGACCATGCGAACTTTGGAGCCTGGGGTGTGTGTGTGTGTGTGTATATGTGTGTGTGTTCGGAGTTCTGTTGGGGGATTTACAGTAACTTCATACATCTAACTCCAGTCCATCTATTCAAATTTAATTAATGTTTTCAATTTGACAGTTTATGCAACAAACAACAGTAAACGGTCATCAAATACTGTGTTCCCAAAACACCTTATTATAATAAACAGGGTGTGTCATAATATATTTGACTTATGTCCAAATTGTCTCTGAGTGAACCTGGCGTGGTACTTCTGTTTCGGTTTGAAAGAACAAGTGCCCCCTCCTGTAGGTACTGCTAGTATTAAGCCAGGGGTGTCACACTCTTTTTGGTCCACGTTTTTTCCCCTCTTTTTTTTTTGAAGCGGTCACACTCATTTTGGTCCACGTTTTTTCCCCCTTTTTTTTGAAGCAAAGAAGTAAAAGTATGTTTGGTCAATCTTTATATTTAATTAAATATAATATATATAATATTTTATATTTGTGTATTTTTTTTTATTTTCAAAATTCATTAAGTGGGCCGGATTAAACACTCCATGTGGGCTGTTTTTGGCCCACGGGCTGTATGTTTGACACCCCTGGTCTGAGCGTTACATACAAGCCGATCAAACCAATCTTTCTCCAAAGATGTGGGGAAAAAAAATGGGGAAAGAAAAGTTTGTAAAATGTTCTCGAACAGTATTAGCAAAACATAGGTTAGCCAAGAACTTGCTAGCAAAGTTAGCCTTTACCCTCTAAAGTTAAAAATTAACTTAAATTAAATTAAATTAGTTAAAGTTTAAAGTTAGCGTTTACCCTCTGGGAGAGTTCGTCATAACCATCTTCACTGTTAATGGACATATTGTGTCAAACATCAACGTTAGCATCCTTCCTGAATCCCCTCTCTCTCTCTCTGCAGATCTGTCTCCCGGCCTGGCAGCACTGACCGTGGGCTGTGACTCAGGGAAGCTGGAACCCTTGTCCAGGGTCCAGCTGCTCCTTTTGGACCGAGCAGAGCCTGAGATGCTGCCCGGTCACTGTGGTATGGAGGAAGAGGAGGAGGAGAGAGAGGAGGAAGAGGAGTTAATGTCCATGGAGGACTGGGAGGTTTTGAGGAAGCGATACAACACAGGGCAGACGACAGGAGGTAACGTGTATATATATATATACTGTATATATATATATATTTACATATATATA